GAGGCTGAGATGAGTGGATTGCCTGAGCAGGCGGGTTCGAGACCCGCCTGGGCAACTTGGTGAGACCTCATCTCTACAATAAATCAAAAAATTAGCCAGTCATGGTAGCGTGCGCCTGTAATTCCGGCTACTAGGAAGGCTGAGGCCGAAGGATCGCTGGAGCCCAGCAGGTCAAGGCTGCGGTGGCCAGGAGCGGCCACTGCACTTCAGTCTGGGCGACAGAGTGAGACTCTGGCTTAAAAAAAAAAAAAAAAAGACTCTCTCTGTGCAGGCCGCGGACTCACCGGGGTGACAGTGCAGGGGAGGGACTCTTATTCTTGTCTGCTCTGTTTCTTTTTTCTAAGTGTGAACCGGAGGGGTCTGAGGCTATCAGGAGGGCAGGTGAACCGGTTTCACCCACTTACCTGGAAAACTGCAGGGCAGGAAGCTTTCCTTCCATCAGGGACCCCAGCTATCTTTGTGTCACAGACCCCCTCAGCAGTCCTGGCGGCTGGTGATTGCTTGACTGACTGATTGACAGTCTGAAAGGGTCTCGATGTGTCGCTCAGGCTGGAGTGCAGAGGTGCGACCATAGCTCATTGCAACCTCAAACTCCTGGGCTCAAGTGATCCTCCTTTCTCAGTCTCCCAAAGTGTTGAGATTGCGGGCGTGAGCCACCTTGGCCGGCGAAATGTTTTCTCCATTCAAGATTAGAGACGCTGAGCCCTGCCCCAGGTTAAGGTCTTGCATGCCCTGGAGGGAGGAAGCCATGCGCTACTCCTGCCCTTGGATTTGATGCTATGAAAAGCTGGTTGAGGTAGAAAGAAACTTCAAGGCCCAGGAAGGGGAGGAACCTGTGCCCAGCGGGCATGACTGCTGAGAGGTTTGCGCTGGAGATGTCTTCTTGAAAAGTCACGTTTACAGATACCACTGTCTTCTGCTGTTCTCGCCTTTGTTATGAAGGAGGAGGAGGGTGTTAACACCCTCTGCCATGCAGAGGACAAGCACTGATTCAACAGCTGGAAGAACAGCTGGAAGTCTGGGATAGAATCTTGTCCTTCCACATACCAGCTGTCACCTTGTCAAGTCTCTTAGCTTCTTCCTGCCTCAGTTTACCTGTCAGTAAGAAGGGGACATCAATACTTGTGCATAGCTTGAGCTCAGGAGTTCAAGACCAGCCTGGGCAACATAGTGAGACCACTATCTCTACAAAAAATTTAAAAAGCTAGCCGAGTGTGGTGGTCCCAGCTACTCGGGAGGCTGAGGCAGAAGGATTGTCTGAGCCCAGGAAATTGAGGCTACAGTGAGCCCTTGTCATGCCACTGCACTCCAGTGACAAGGAGAGGATCACTTGAGCCCAGTGATGGAGGTTACAGCATCCCTGGAGGCTCAGAGACCCCCAACATAGGACCATTTTATATTCAGAGCCCCCTACACTCCTGATGTGTTCGAGTTCTGCAAAACCGTCTGGGCAGTTGATGTGGTTGTATTTGTTTGTAACTGACAAGGACGAGGCTTAACTGTCAAATATGCAGAAGACAGACCAGGGTTCAGGGAGAAAGTGGAGGAGGGGAAGAGGCAACTGCAGGGGAGTGGGCATCCTGCCTGCTCCAGGACTGGAAGGAGGTGGGTGAGGCCTCCCTTCCTGTGAAGGCCTCCAGGGCCTCGGAGCAGAACTGCAGGGGAGGGACAGGAATGGGAGGCTGCTTCGCTGGGGAAAGGGCTGGAGGACTGATGGGGGGTGGAGGGGAGCTGTGGAGCGCCTCGGGGGCTGTGTCTGGGGCAGAGCGGGGTGTAGCATCCTGAATCCCCCTCAGTGCTTGTCCAAGGAGCCAGTGAGAAACACGCACCTGAGCCAGGATATGAGTGATACGTGTTTAATCAAAACTGTGAGTCTGCACGACATAGCAGAACCCTCTACGAAAAAAATTCGCTGGCCTCGGTGGCATACCTGTAGTCCCAACTACATAGGAGGCCAAGGCGGGAGGATCATTTGAGTCCAGGTGATGGAGGTTACAGTGAGCTGGGATGGTGCCAGTGTCCCCCAACCTGGGCGTCAGAGTGAGACCCTGTCTCTTAAAAAAAAATGCTGCTGAATACCTCATGAGCCATGACTGATGCGGCACTGCCACTTGGTGGCAGCATGCCCAGGCTGTGCAGCGACCCCCCACCCCGGCTCTCCCACAGGTCACGCTGGAGACCACTATTGGCAACAAGAACCCGGCTCTGTGGAAGTATGTGCAGCCCAAGGGCTGCGTGCTGGAGTGGGTGCGCAATGTCGTGGCCAACCGCCTGGCCTCGGACGGGGCCAGCTGGGCAGACACCTTCAAGAGGTTCAACAGCGGCACGTGAGTGGGCTCCCAGCCTGCCCCTCCCCCTTAGCACTCAGACCCTCACACCCCACGTCTCCCGCCGAGCGCCACTCAGGTGCTCATGGGAGGAGGAAGGGGTCCTGGAGCCCTTCCCTGGTTTGATACATGAGGAAACTGAGGCTGGGGAAGGGAGCGTCTCCCTGCAGAATGTCTCCTCCACCCGGGGAGGGTCCCCGGGAGGCAGGCAGGAAGAAAACTTGGAGCCTGAGGGCTCTGGGGACATGGGCAGGCTGTGAAGAGGTGGACGGCGGTGGGTGGCAGGGCCTGCATGCCAGAGACACTGTAATTGGCCTCAGAACATCCAGCAGAGGGCCTGGCCTTTGTTCTGATAAGCTCCAGGGAGCCGTAGAATATTCTGGAACAAGTACACAGCATGGCCGGAGAGGGGTTTGCGGACACTCGGGTCAAGCCGCAGTGTCAGGGAGACAGTGAATGACTAGCCCCCTCGGCCCAGTGCTTGTGAGTGCTGACTGTGGGCCCAGGGAGCAGTGGCGAGCGAGGGGGCCTGGGCGACGGCCCCGGGCTCTGTTCAGTCCCTCCTCGGCCCGGCAGGTACAACAACCAGTGGATGATCGTGGACTACAAGGCATTTGTCCCCGGCGGGCCCAGCCCTGGGAACAAGGTGCTCACCGTCCTGGAACAGATCCCGTGAGTACTGTGGGGGGATGCCCGGGCAGAGGGAGCTGCCCAGGCCCGGAGGTGAGTGGAGCCGTGAGGGAGGGAGCCTCAGGAAGGGGGGCTGGAAGAGAAGGTGCCCCCGAAGGTTCAGGGAATACCCTGCCCCAGGTGATGAGCCCCGGGGTCCTGGAGCCGGGCAGTGCTCACGGGAGCCCTGTCTGTCGTCTCGGTCCCAGGGGCATGGTGGTGGTGGCCGACAAGACCTCAGAGCTCTACCAGAAGACTTACTGGGCCAGCTACAACATACCGTACGTGCCCCCCCTGCCCTGCTGTCTGCCCCCCCAGCCCTCTATGAAACTAAAAGCTCCACCCACAGGGTCAACAAGCCTTGCCCCCGGCAGCTCTGCTATGTTGGGTAGCATCCACGCAACCTCGCAGTTCTGGCATCTGTAGTGGGGTCGTGTGGGTGGCCTCACTCAGGGACCGAACCTGGCTGCACGGTCGTCACCTCCCTTGGTCACTGTGCGTCTTCTTGATCCCTATGACCTCCACTCTTGATGGCCGTGGCTCCTGCTCCCGTTTCGCAGATGAGGAAACTGAGGCCCTGGGAAAGTGCCCGGCTTTCTCAGGGCTCCCCTGCCGGTGAATGTGAAGCCAGAACTTGAATCCATGTCTTTTGGACACCAGAGCCCAAGCCTGGCCCTCTCCCAGCACAAACGAAAGACTTTCATTTTGAGTCGGAGTCTCACTCTGTTTCCCAGGCTGGAGTGCAGCGGTGCGTTCGGAGCCCACTGCAGCCTCCAGCTCCTGGGCTCAAGCCATCCTCCCGCCTCAGCCTCCCAAAGTGCCTCCATGCTTGGCCCCAAAGACACTATTACTGCTGTTCTTGCTGTTGTAGTTGTTCATGATAGTGTTCAGGTGTCACCCCCAGCCCCGCATCCTTGGTCATGGCCACAGCTGGGTGAGGCTGGTAAGGGTTGTGGGTGACCACCTGTGTGCCCAGCAGGTCCTTCGAGACTGTGTTCAATGCCAGTGGGCTGCAGGACCTGGTGGCCCAGTACGGGGACTGGTTTTCTTACGACGGGAGTCCCCGGGCCCGGATCTTCCGGCGCAACCAGTCTCTGGTACACGACGTGGACTCCATGGTCCGGCTGATGAGGTGGGTGGAGTGGGGAGGGAGCCCAGGCCACAGAGCTCTCTGCGTGTCACTGTACCAACTCATCAGACCTGAGGGCAGGGAAGGGGCCCTGATGGGGGGGCTGTCACAGGACTCCCACCAGGCTTCCCCTTCCCGGCGTGGCTGAGGCTCCCTCCTGTCCCTCATCCAGGTACAACGACTTCCTCCACGACCCCCTGTCCCTGTGCAAAGCCTGCAACCCGCAGCCCAATGGGGAGAATGCCATCTCTGCCCGCTCTGATCTCAACCCAGCCAACGGCTCCTACCCCTTCCCAGCCCTGCGCCAGCGCTCCCACGGCGGCATTGACGTGAAGGTACTGCTCCCGCCGGGGCTGGGTCAGGGGCTGTGGGTGTGGGTGGGTCCCCCGCACTGCAGAGAGACAGGGTGGGTGTGCTGGGGTCCCAGTCCCTGGGCCGTCAGATGGGGGGGTCAGGCTGAGCTCAGGCCGGGTTTGGACTTGGGCTCCTGGCTGGGCTGGGCGGGCCAGCCCCCTTCAGCCGCCTGTTTGCTGGCCCCAGGTGACCAGCCTGCCGCTGGCCAAGGCGCTGAGCCTGTGGGCGGCCAGTGGCCCCACGTGGGACCAGGTGCCCCCCTTCCAGTGGAGCAGCTCACCCTTCCCAGGCCTGCTGCACATGGGCCAGCCTGACCTCTGGAAGTTCCTGCCCATCAAGGTCTCCTGGAACTGAAGCCCTGGCTGTGTGCCGCCCTGCCCTGCTCTGCCGAGTGGCCTGTCCAGCCACCCTGACCTCCTGCCCCACCCCCTTCCGGGGTCGAGGCCGTCTCCTCCTGGGGCGAGGCCCAGGACCTGGCGGGCCCGGGACCTTTCGGGGCTCAGAACTGACTCCCACACCCCCCAAAGTGGGGCACACCCGGCCTCTGCCTCCCTCTGTTTCCGACTCGCTCCTGCTGCTGGGCCCCCTCCCCACACTCCTGGGGCTTGGGAGGCGTCCTGGGAGCCGCGGGCAGGACAGGCCTGTTCCCAGCTCTGGTCCTGGGTGGCGCTGGAGTTGGTGACATGTCAGCCCTGGACCCAGGCCTGTCTCTAGCTGGCCTCCCTCCTCTCAGCTGCAGCCCAGCGCCTTGCTCCCTCAGGAAGCAGCCCGGTTGTCTTCCCTTCTGGGCGCTTCCTTGAGGACAGAAGCTTGACAAGACACAAACCAAAGTTTCTGGCCTCCTGTGGCTGGCGGGTCCTGAGGGTCCTGTTCTTCTGTCTCCAGGGAGAGTCAGCTCAGCACTCCTCCGCCCACCCAGGGCCTGCTTCTGGCCTCAGGGCCACGCCCACAGCCCCCTTGCTGGAAGAACCAAACCGCAGGCTGTGGTGCCATTAAACAAGAGAGGCTGTGACGCATCTATGCTTCCTGGGCAGTGGGGAGGCCGGGTGGGCACCTCTCCTCTCGGGCTTGGGTGATGCACCACGTGCCATGCATCCTCCTGTCCATTCGCACATCTGCCAGCCCCCTCACCCACTGTCCGTCAGCATGGCCCTCTGCCATGCCTCCTCATCCACACGTTCCATCTGTCCGTGGTCCACTCTTCTAACACCCATCCATCTACCTGTCAATCCTCCCACCCATCCATTTACCCACCCACCCACCTTCCCATTCATCCATCCATTCAGCCAACCGTCCATCCACCCATCTGTCCATCTGTCTGTCCATCCATCCACCCACCCTACCAACCATCCGACCAGCCAGCCGGCCACCCAGCCAACCAACCAAACGTCCATCTCTCCATCTGTCCGTCCATCCGTCTGTCCATCTGTCTGTCCATCCACCCGCCCATCCATCCATCCGTCCATCCATCTGTCTACCCAGCTGTCCACCCATGCATCCACCCACCTCCATCCATCCGTCTACCCACCCTCCTGTTCGCCCACTCATCCGCCCACCTGACCACACACCTCCACTCACCCACATTCATCCACCCATTCACCCATATCCATCTGTTTGTTTGTTCTTTTTTCATCCATCCATCCTTTCATTCCATCTGCCCGTCCATCCAGATGCCTGTTTATTCGGCCTCAGTCTTTTGAGTGGCTGGGACTGCAGGCAACACCACCAAGTTTGGCTTGTTGTTGTCACTGTTTCTTCCCTCCTTGCCCTTTCCCTCTTCCTCCTTCCCTCCCTCTCCTCCCGGCTCATTTTTTGACTGATTGTAGAGACAAGGTCTCGCCAAGTTGCTCAGTCGGGTCTCGAAACCTGGACTCAGGCAATCCTCTCGCCTCTGCCTCCCAAAGTGCTGGGATTACAGGTGTGCGCCACTGCCTGACCTCGGCCCCCAGGCTTTTAAAATGCACTTGTATCCCTCCCAAGTGGAAGTCAGACCTGGCTCTGAGGCGGGATCCGGCACCCCTGTTATTTACGAGAGGATCCATGTGGTTCTTAGGCTTGACTTTGAACTCGAGGTCCCCCCAAACGTGCCCTGGAGCCACTGTAGGTGGGAGTGGGTGTTTCTGAGGGTGGCTGGTATGGTGGGGTGGGTGGGGGTCCCCCATGCTCTCAAGGCAGCCCCGGCGGTTTCCTGGATCTGTTTTATACTCGGGCCTCAGCATGCTTGTTCGTTGGAGGAGAGGGTTCCATGTTTCAGGAGGGTTCGAGTCCAGAGGTGGGTGTCCAGTGTCAGTTTGCAACCCCCAGGGACGGACGCCTCCCTGCTCTGCTCTCAGCTGGCCCGCGATGAGCTTCCTACCAGGAAGGACTTCCTGCCACAAGGAGGGCGGGTGAGGCTGCCTCCCCGGCGGGTGAGGCTGCCCTTGGCCCCCCAAGTGCCCCTTGTCCAGCCGCCTGCTCCTGTGGTGCGGGACGGGCCCCTCCGGCCCCGCGGGAGCGGGGTCCTGGCCCTGCCGCGGGCCCAGGGTCCCCCGTGGGGGCGAGTGCCGCTTGCTCGGGCTGAGGGCGGGGCTGAGGGCCCGGCGAGAGGGCCGGCGCCGGCGCCGGAGGCACGCACAGGATCCGAGTTCCATAAATACGTCTCTTTCTTTTCCCATGGAAAGTCCGTTCGCGCATTAGAAAATGAGTACGGGTGGGGAGTGGGCTTCCCGGGAGAAGAGCGAGGCGATCCTTCGGCCCCGGCCGGGTGCGCCCGCTT